AAAGATATCTTGTTTTATTAAAAAGATATCTTGTTTTGTTGACCTGAGTATCACAAAATATTCCACTTTATTATCTTGAGACAATGAGTATAAATAATTTTAATATATTATAATATTTAATATTATTTTAAGTTATTTGCCTTGTTATCTTGAGATTATAGAATTAGTTGTTGCTATGACAAGTTGTTTATCTCATTACAGGTAAATTTGTTTATTTTAATTCAGAAAAAACAATTTTTTAATGGAAACTAGAAATAATTTTAAAGTCACAAATAAACCAACAAGTCTGGCTTGTTTCACTAAGATAAATTATTTTATTATCTCAATGTAAAAGCTTTTTTGTAGCAATAACAAGTCATTCACAGTTTAATCTTAGCATAATGAACTTATTTTGTTGCTAAATGTTAATTTTCTCATTATCTCACGATATAAGAGCTTGTTCTGTTAGGATAAGTAATTTATCTTGTTGTCCTGAGATAACGGAGCTTGTTATCTGAACACTAGTATTTGTTCTCTTATTTAAACTTTTACAATTTTCTCATAAAATCAAAAATGAGTACTTGAAATAAGATTTTAAAACTTTTATAACTTGTTTGTAAGATAAGTTTTTCTCTCATCAAGTCAATGGATCCTGTCTTCTTGAGAAAATAAGTTAATTTAATCATTTGATATGTCTTAAAAATTGAGTTATGCTGGCAGCTGATTTAAGATGAAAAGGTCCCAATCAAGGAACATCCATCACTGATCAAACCATCGCTGTTATACATCATTTTTATGTGTCATAACAGTAATACTAAATAAAGAAACTGGCTGTAATGTAAGGACCACTCACTGTTCTATCATAATTATCTCTTCAGTTTGAGGAAAAAAGGCTAGTTCCATCTAGAAAAAAAAAGCTTGATTACCCTGAGATGGAAAAATAACCTTGTGATCTTCAGAAAATCCCATCAAAACTAAAAATAACAGGTTGTCTTCAGCTTATTGAAAGACTGAGAAATGTTTCCTCTGCTCWTGTTTGTAAGATATCAAAGCCAACAAAAAATATCTATTTTGGAGCCCTTAAGACAATCGTACGCAAGATAAAATAACTAATAACTAATAATAATAAATGAATATCTACTWTTCCTTGATGAACAGAAGATGTAATGTTGTAAAAAGAAATGACAAAGCTTTTACAACTACTCATTGAGCCCAGCTTTGCACACTGCCAGATATTCGTTCAGCTTCACTGATATAAAACCACGAACACAATCAGCAGGAAACCAGCATTTATCCTCAACACACTTTACTGGAGCCTGTGTTCATGCAACATCTCTGAACAATACCTATGTTATAACRTTACACAATATATCGCAAATTTATCACCATCACAATAACAGCCTTTGCATTAGGCATATCATAAAAAAATGGTAAATTGCAAAAAATTGTTTCAAATGTTTGCATTTATACATTTTGTTAGCATCTGAAAACAAAATAGGACCCAAGACACCAAATCACATCTTAACCAAAAATGTTGGACTGCAGTTGGATTTAGGTTTGTTAACTTKAAGTTATAAATTTGTTAACTTTTCAGATATTTTTATGATTTATTTTAAAAAATGATAGTATGGTGGCATTTTTCAATATTTAGAGCRTCAGAAAAAGTTTATGGGAGCCGAGTTTTAAAATCATTAAGAAACTCTATTGCATTCAGTTTGGTGTTTCACTGCTAATACGGCAGCTGTCATGTTGGAACGGAAATCATGTATTTAGTTGTTTTGTTGCTCTGAACCTAGAGCAGAAATAAAACAACAACGCATATGTAAGTATTTGTTAATTTATCGTTATTGCAAAGTTATTGCTAGGTTTTCCTGATATCGTGCAGCCCTACTGTTCTAATAACATGAGTTTAGAAATTACGCTGTCTGGCCAAAAAAATGTCACCAAAAAAATGGTCACACTCTACTTGGTTGGACCACCTTTAGCTTTGATAAYGGCACACGATCACTGTGCCATTGTTTGGGTAAGACTCTGCAAAGTGACAAGATTTATTTCCATCCAGTGTTGCATTAATTTTTCACCAAGATCTTKCATTGATGATGGCAGAGTCTGACCTTCTCCAGCACATCCCAAAGATTCTCAATGGACTCTGTGGAGCCAATCCATGTGTGAAAATGATGTCTCATGCTCCCTGAACCACGCTTTCACAACCCAGCCCCATGAATCCTGGGCTGGCATTGTCATCTTAGAATATGGCCGTGCCATCAGGGAAGAAACAATCCATTGATGGAATAACCTGGTCATTCAGTATATTCAGGTAGTCCGTTGACCTTTTTTGAGCTCATATTGTTGCTGAACCTGGACCTGACCAACTGCAGCAACCCCACATCAYAGACCATAGTTACATCCAGGTGGACACTTGGTTTTTTGGCCAGGCATGTATATTTACGCAAGTGCTTTCCATGATTTAGTATATTGTCTCAAGAGAGAAGCATAGCAACCAGGGCCACTGGTTGCACTACTGCTTTCTTTGTGTCAGGAACCAACAGTGTTCTGTTTTCTGTACAGATTACATCTCAGTGTGTAAGTAAAACTCTGATAAAAATAACCTCTTTTCTTCATTACCGACAAGTGACAAAGTTTAGTAACAAAACCCACAACAACACGCCCCGCCACTGGATCTCTGAGTTAATGGGTTTTGGATGCTGTGGTCCAGTGTGTGTGAGAAGGGTGGGATAAGCGTGTGTGCACGTATCAATTGTGTCTGACACAATGAAGCCTTTTCACGGTACTGTCCCTGCTGCAACGCAGTGGGTGGACACACTCAATTACAGGCTTYACAAGCTGTCTCAGCCACACTCATTTGTGCAGGAATGGTCGAAAGAGAAAACGCAGAGAAAAAGAGGGAAGTGGGATTTCAAAGCTTCAGAAATGATCA